ATAAGCATTTATTCCATCCTCCACGAAAACATCCATGCAATGCGTGTGGCAACATTATCCGCGGGAGAACTGGATACTAAATCTAAAAATAACTTAAGCGGGATTACCTTGAGAATATTAAAGGTCTATATGGAGGATTAACTCTCTTACTCTTCATCCTCTCTTGCCAAAGATGTGAATTTACTTGTGACGCTTTAATCTCTATTCAGCGCGAATGGGTAGGCATGTATAGGATGTTGAACCTTCCCAATCTCGTTCCTCGATTCTTCCTTTGTTCCCTACTGCGCAAGCCTCACAAAACGAGCAACTCTCGAAAGTTCCGTTTCGGGCTCGATTTTGATTGGTTTTAACAAGAATGGAAATCTGCCGAGTTTTTGTTTGTACAAGTCAACTGGAGGTCTAATGTGTTCGGACTTCTAATCAGAACTTTCCATGGTTCTCGTTTCCCGACCGCTGTTCTGGAACCTTCCTCGTCAATCAAAGCTGAGCGTGCGCAACATCATTTTACAGTGGTTTAATTGTCAAAATCCATTTTATTTACCAGCGTTAGTTGAGTAGGGGAGAGAAACTTTACCACAGCAATGTTGCTGAGAACGCTATTCTAAAGACTTTGTAGACTGGAGATAATCAACTGATTGGATAATAATTAGTAGAGGGAAATGTTTAGGAAGGCCGGTAAACAGCAAAGAATCAAACAAACAGACCAAGATTTATGTTGGAAGGCTCTTGATCCTGCATATCTTTTGTTTTATGCTCACTGACTACGCATGAATTACATAATCGCAATGCTTCTATTGGTTAGTTGTATGAGCACACGTAAACACCTTTTGTATTTTGCCAGGTTTTATGCAGGGTCAACCCCCAAAATAGCCAATAGAAACATATAACAAAGAACTTTGTCATGTTTCCTAACCATTTCCCTCAATTATCTATGATTGGATATTGTATGCATTCCTTTTCAAAGTGCAAAAATCGTGTTTGCGGTACTTGCTCTATTTCGCAAAAATATGTCAGGAATGTAAACGGCGCATATTTGTTTATAACCAAGATTTTCAATTTTGCGTTTTTTGCGAAACGTTTCAAATATGGTAGTGAATTGGAGCCTATATTAAGAGATGATAAGAAACCATAAACGAACAAGTATGGTTAAGGATGGCGAAGATTGACACGGATTACAAACGACGAACTTGAAAAAATTAGGCTGAACTTTTGAGGATGCCCAAACCGTGACGTAGCCCCTTTAAGCCTTCAAGTTGGCTGCAGCAGAACCAAATGAGCATTAATAATGTATTTTCCTAGACCATATACAAATTTCGTCATAAAACTAACTCTCGGGAGCAAGCAAAGGTTGAACCTGACCTAGCTGAGGCCTGTGGTTACGCGTTTTTGATTTAAAAATTAGCCATCGTGTTGCTTGGATTAGAATTATTGCTAGTCTCACCAACTGCGAAACCAACGACAAGAAGACAAAAACTACGAACAGGAAAGGCGCGAATCCCAGTAAGACTGCTTCTATCAAATGGAAGAATCGAACATACTGTTGTTGGAGACCTCCAGCTTCAATTCCCACTGAGTAATACGATGTCACTCCAACGTTCAGGATTGCTACGGTGACCAAGGTTGCCAAGGAAACGGTCTCGACAAGGTTGGCGCGGAACTGGACGAAGGGCTTCTGGTACACCTGATGTAAAAGAAAAACGGGACAAACGATTGTCAGGCAAACAGAGCGGAGAAACGCATGCTCCAAAAACGAACCAATTAAAATAAGAAGAAATCGACGACCAATGAGAACGCTTTCCCAGTAAACCTTTCCTGTGGAGTGGTTATCCTGTGGCTTGCAAAATGGAGCGGTAAGGACGTCAAGTACTGCATGCTCTATGGTGGAGGAAGCAAACGTACATTTGTCCTCTTCTTCATGATCAACAACGCTAGAAGGAGATACCATCTCTCTAAAGTCACGTCGTTGCGCAATAACTCTGGTTAAGTGAGAAACGAAGACAAGGAGAAGATGTGGTAGGGGGAAAACACATGCCAGTAGGAAAATCTTCGCAGAAATCTGCCCTTGATATAGCTGCAATGAAGCAAAATACAATGTAAATATAAACGGAAACAAGAACAGGGCTATTCCCGCAAAAGAGGCGTTTTGCCACCACTGAAAACACGTGATTTCGGCGTCGTAATACCAGCGAGACACGTGCTGTATTTGTACACAGTTCAGCAGTTTCATTGCTGTACCAGTTGCCGCTGAGTATCCTAGCAACACGATTTCCACAATCGCAGCGAGGTATGAACCACATGGTGGAAGAGCTGGTGTACGCTTGCGTAGTTTATTTAGACCGCTGTGCAGGAGGTAAATAACTGGGATCGACAAAAAGATGGCAATCACAGCTACCAGTTGAAACAGCGCCTTCTTAAGTGGGGTGATACCTGGAAAGGGGCAGATACTCCAGTCATTATGGACGGAAATCTTGAAGTCAAGAAGGCTTACAAGTGGTGATACAATATTATCTTTTAAAACCTCTCTCACGCCATAAGACGAAGCGGTCAAAACTCCCGCAATTTGATAAAAGTAAAAGAGGATTTTTAAGTATCCAGAACTTGTACCGTTGACTGTTTTTTTAGCATCACTGTCCAAATTGAGGTAGTCTTCGTAAATCGTCCTTTCGCGCCTTGGAAGAAACCATGTTACATTTCTCATCAGTATTTCGAACACTGGTGGCTGGTGAACGAGAAACAGAGCAAACAATGATGTGCAGATGAAAATAAGGATCAAATACCAATAATGGGTGCAGTGTTTGACCGGAACACAGTTAGTCGTAAACAGCGTGTCACTGAAGCCCTTTTTACATCTTCCACAGAGAAACCCCGTCCGGTTTCCTTGACAACCAGATTGCAGGTAGCTGGTGTTTTGATAGGGGCATCTCTGATTGACAGGTGGACAGCAGTAACCTTGGGGATAAAACTTAAAGTAAACCTTGTCACCAATGGGATAGTCCCAGAAATTATGCCTTGCGGAAATAGCGTACGTGCAGTTCCCACCCGTTGGGCAAGCAAGGCATTTCACATGGTTCTCTATCGTGAAGCCCTCACTGCTGCCTCTCTTAAGACTGTAGGTCTCCATGGGACATGACTCGGTGCTTAATGAAAACGACACAATCAACGCCTGCACGTAGTCTGACACGTATTCGTGGTGCGTAAAATTGTGCAGGTTAAGCTTAGTGCTGAACGGGGATTTGATTCGCACAGAATCGTTCATGACTACCTTGTGTGCTCCCTTAACAAAGAGGAGAGCTTCTCCATCTGTACTGAACGGGTCCGAAACAAACGAGCTCTCGCGGATTGAGATGTTTCCAAAGCTCGTCACCGTTAAAAATCCATTGTATGGTTGTTCCCTTGAGGTGTTGAAGACCTGGGATTCTTTTGACTGGTAGAAATTTGTTTTGTAAATTGTCAATTTGCTTAAGCGCATTTGAACACGCACGTGGGAACCATCCGTGCTACCAAAGTTGTTTGTAAAATTAGTACTTTGAATATCAATCGTTTTAACATCAAATATTGTTACTGCGCTTTCAGCAACTCCTGAATTCCCGCGGAACTCTGAATTGTTAAAGGTGACCGACGCGTTTTCTGGGCGTGTGACCGGCCCCCAGGAACTGGACGGCACAACAGAAATCTTTACTACTCCTGCTTTGCAGTAATTGTTGAGGAATGTGATTACTTGGAAAAGCAAGAAACTCTGGCTCGGATACATAGAAACCCGAAAAATAGAACTCCATGTTTGGCAGTTGTTGTTTATAAACGAAACGTTCTTGAATTGGTAGCGCGATCCATGACTGATCTTGTTTGGATCCGTGTAAATATAGAAGGCGAAATTTAAGTTGTCGCTCATTATGGAATTCTCCACGAGGATATTGGAAGTGTTGGAATAGGTTCCAAAGAATATACCACCGCCCGAATTTTTTACCACTTTACAGGAACTCATTAACAAGTAGCTTGGAAACAAAATAAATGTCATAGACACTTGTACTGCTTCCTTTGTTTTCAAGGAATTTGGAGTGTCGTATGGTCACTCTTGGCCGAAATGCCCACAGAGGATTACTGATAGTCAGCTGAATGGTACTAGACAATGAACCGCCCGAATTTCGAATAAATTCGCAGTTAAGAGCAACAG